CATGTTCCATTTTTAAAATTTCTGATAGAATGTGACCTTTTGTCATTCTTTTTAGTGTGCAAATGTCCATGTATGTTCCTATGACAAGTACGTCTCTCTCTCTCTCTATATTAAAAAGGGTTCACACGTATAATTTATTTGTTTTTCTTCATCGTAATGCAGGGTAAACTCTGATTGATCCTTATCATTTGGTCTTAACTTATTAGAGCTGTTGACTATTCAGACAATGTAACTTTTTTATGTTTTTAACTAACCAAGGAGTATTTATGTGGGGATTACTACACGGGCCATAACATTTGGAATATATGCAACAGTTTAAGAATGATGAAATAAAATAAATAAATAAATAAATAAATACGCTTCCTGGATTTGGGAAGCGAAAGAAAAGACAAGCAAGCAAGCACATTTGACGATGTAAATCTCCATCCTTCCATGTGCTTCATGGTTTGTGCTTCATGCCACGGACTCTTTCATCCTCAGCTATAGACGTATCCTTCTCTCTCTCCTTGTGGTGCATACGTGGAATCGTGGTCTCTAACAAGCAATATGTCTCCTTTTTTGTGCATGTCCTATTCGCATGTATAATGCAATAAATTCTGTAAAGTTATCGAGTTCCATTGGTCTTTCCAGAAAATCTGAGCAGCAAAGGGTTGGCCAAATCCCTTCCTGCGGGCATGGGAAAAGGCAAGCACGCAGGGAAGGGAAGCTGGCCACCGACTGCTTCCCACCTTCCTCTTTCTCTTCCTCCTTCTCCTTCTCCTTCTTTTCTTTCTTACTGTTAGTGTAAGGCCAAATGCAGCGGCTAAGTGCTGGTCGCTGTGTGGCCGGGAACCTTTCAGGGTTGGCAAAATCTTTGATCTAAGGCCAAGGCAAACCTCCCTTCCACTATTACATGGTCAGTGGCTTTAAAAACAAGCAAAGCAGACACCTCAAACTAAAATAAAGCGCTCTTTGGAGACAGGATAAACAGACTGTTTTGTAAATATTGGCCACCAGCAATCTAGCAGGCAAGGGAAACTTAAGCGAAACTCCCCACACGTTTTGCTTTATTTTCTTTAAATGCTATGTGTTTAACTGGGCAGGGGAAACTCTGATGGGTGTTACTCAGTCGCCTTCTGAAAATCAGGGAAATAACTTTGCCCATCTATCCGACCTAGCCCTTTCCCCTCCACTTTCCAAAGCTGCCCCATTGCAATGGGTGCACAGGATTCATGTGGGCCTGGATCAATACAAATCTGTTTCAGTGTCCTTGCAATCTTGGAAACTTTGATTGTTCTTGCACCAACATCAGGATAATGAAGTTCACGACTTTTTGCCTCCCGCATTCCTGCGAAATAAATATTGCCAGCAGCCACCTTACCTTCTGCAAAAGGAAGATGGAAGGGAGGGAGGGAGGAGAAGGAGAGAGAGAAAGCTGGATGCAAAAAACCCGTGGGAGTTTGCAAATGAACGTGACTCTCAGGTGAAGTCCAAATGCTTGGACGCGCGTCCACCTTCGGAAAGCGAAGGGGAGCCTTTCCTGAAAAGCAGGCATCCATTGACCCACCTTGAGTTCTAAACCAGGATCCTGCCAAAAATACTGCATTGCTCTCCTAATGATACGGTGGAAAAGAAAACCCGAGCATCCGCTTGGTTATCTTCTGTGGCCTCCTTCACTGCTTTCAGTCCGCGAAGGTGGTTCTTTGAGAAAAAGGCTCTCGCTGGTGAAGGGCTCCGTCCTTAGGAAACTGCGTATTACTAACCTCCAGGGATGTATTTAGGAGACTTCTTGGTTACCCATTAGCTTTCTCTTTGTTTATCTGTAGGATGCGCCTCGCCTGTCTCTAAACGAATACCTTTTGATCTGGTGGAATGTGTCGAGCACACGTTTTTCCTTATACAGAAGGCTGAAATGTCAGTCAATATGTATCCGAACACTTGGCTATCACGGTGTATATAACATATATTGGGATTGATTGTTGGGGGGGAGGGGAAAAGGTGTTTTCAAGAAACACCCAGAGAGTTTGCCTTCGTTGGCAGCGTCTCCAAGCCCACTTTACTTTGAACGTAAATTCTGCTCCAGCGGAGGCCAGTGGTTTCCACGTTGCTATACCGATTAGGATTGGTACGTTTCTGTCTTACGCGGGGCTGGCTGGTTGTGCGTGCTTGTGCCTAGACCCACAGGCACGCACGCACGGGCACCCACCTATAAACATCTAAGTTTCCCATGGTAAACAGAGGGCCTTCACGTTGCTTGGAACTAAAGGGAATGGAGCTGTAAACCTGCAACACGCCGGCTTCTAGCAAAACTCCGCAAGGAGGGGTAAATAACTGGAAAAAGCTCCGCCTCGTCTTTTTCCGCCTCCCGGGAGGCAAATGGGTCTGACGGCAGCGTCCGGCTTGTTTTACTTGACACAAGGCTCTAGATTCGCACCGATCCTGCCCCTCATTCAAGCAAACCCAGTTCTAGCCTTTCTAGAAAAGAAAAGAACACGCGCGCGGGCGCGCTTGCCAGTAAGAGAAAAGAAAGGAACTGAATTACTTGGCACACCGGCGAGGCCATTGTTCCTCTAGTGCTAAAACCTACAGCTGGAAACTTGGCCTCCACCAGTCCATAATAAAGGCGGTAAAACGCGGCTGAAACTCCTCGATTTAATTGGGGCGGGGGGAGGGAACAGAGGCAGCCAGAGGCTCCCGGCTGGGAAAAAAGCATTTCTTCCTGGAAGTTGGCAAGGGCACCCCCCACCCAGCCCTTTGAACGGCCGCGGCCCCCCGGCCGGGCCGGGCC